GCAGCCACTGATTGCCTTGGTTTAGGATGGGTTTAGGGTTTAGGGTTTAGGGTTTAGGGTTTAGGGTTTAGGGTTTAGGGTTTAGGGTTTAGGGCTTAGGGCTTCGGGTTTAGGGTTTAGGGTGTTGGTGCCGCATATAGTACGGCACCCTTGTAGAGAGGACGCTCAAATTTAGAGAACCACCCGCCTGGAGCCCATACAAAACCTCCCTAAACCCTAAACCCTAAACCCTAAACCCTAAACCCTAAACCCTAAACCCTAAACGATCAAATCTCGGCCCTGAAGTCCGGGCCCTGCCTTTTCCCAAAAAGCCTGCGCTTTAAGGACTCATGCGGAGATCATATGTACTAGGAGCCCAAAAAGGGTGTTTCAGGTAGACTGCAATCGATCACGAATAGTCCATACTTTGTTCTCCCTGGTTACTTTAAAGTCCGGATACCAACAACCCCAAGGTATCCAAAACCTCTAAACTCTAAACCCTAAACCCTAAACCCTAAACTCTAAACTCTAAACCCTAAACTTTAGACCCCTAAACCCCTAAACCCCTAAACCCTAACCTCTAAACCCTAAACCCTAAGGTTGTCCTTCGCGTTGCTCTTATGGCTCTTTGCGCTGCTTCGAGCCTCGGCCAGGTTTGGCAAACTTGGGGCTTTTGATATTTAGGGTTTAGGGGTTCGGGTTTAGGGTTTTTGTTTAGGGTGTAGGGGTTGGGGTTTCGTGCTTGGCCCTCAAACCTAAACCCTGGACCCTAAACCCTAAGCCCTAAACCACCCTAAACCGTGGGTCTAGGGCTTGGGCTTTTAGGGTTTAGTCTAGGACATTTTTAGGTAGGTAGTTACCGTTATAGGAGCCTTATAGACGCTTTATATACATATAATGGAAGCCTTATAGAAGCCCTATATACCCCAAACTCCCCACCTGTAGTTTGCTTTAATTTAGGGCTTGGGCTTTTAGGGTTTAGAGGGCTTCAGAAGACCACTTCTCTCCCGAAGCCCTCCCCCTCATAACAGTACCGGGTAGAGAGCTTGGAAGGGCCCTTCTAGGCTTTAGGTTTTAGGGTTTCGAGTTTAGGGTTTAGGGTTCAGGGTTTAGGGTTTAGGGTTTCGAGTTTAGGGTTCAGGGTTTAGGGCTTAGGGTTTAGGGTAGTACCTTGGGCCAGCAGGGAAGCCTTGCCGAACCTGCACTAGAATCCCAAACTTCCCGACACTCCGGCGCTCCAAGAAACGCGAAGCGCTATATGGGGGTTTCCGAAAATTTGGATACCTTATTTTGGGGTCCTTATAGTAAGGATCCTATTATTTAGGGTACTATATTAGGGCCCCCTATTTTCGGAAACTCCCATATAAGCCAGAAACCCACTTGCAGGTTCATTGGTAGCTATAGGTCGGGATACAAGTAGGCCCTAAACCCTAAACCCTAAACCCTAAACCCTAAACCCTAAACCCTAAACCCTAAACCCTAAACCGGCTGTAGCTATGACCCACGCTCCCCTGAACCCTAAACCCTAAACCCCCAAACCCCAAACCCTTAAACCCTACACCCCTAAACCCCAAGCCCTAAACCCTTAAACCCTAAAGCCCCAAACCCGAAACCCTACACCCCTAAACCCTAAACCTCTAAACCCCTAAACCCTAAACCCTAAACCCCCAAACCCTAAACCCTACACCCTCTAAACCCCCTAAACCCTAAACCCTACACCCTAAACCCCCAAACCCTAAACCCCCAAACCCCTAAACCCTACACCCCTAAACCCTAAACCCATGAATTTCCATGTGGGTAGTTCTCTAAATTAGGGTCCCTTTTGGGGTCCGTCTTATAAGGGTGCCGCACGATAATGGGGACCTAAAAAGGGACCCTAATTTAGAGAACTACCCATGTCCCAAGGCGCATGGGGCCGGACTTTCTCGGAGTTGGGGGACCAGATCGAGAAGCCTCTCGCCGGCTTTGGGTTGCAAGGGGTTCTGCATGTAGGACAATGTAGGGTTTAGGGTTTAGGGTTCAGGGTTTATAAAGGGTTTAGGGTTCAGGGTTCAGGGTTCAGGGTTTAGGGTTTAGTTTTTCGGGTTCAGGGTTTAAGATTTACTTACTTAAGCCTAAACCCTAAACCCTAAACCCTAAACCCTAAACCCTAAACCCTATGGAGCATTGGGACTCAAGGGAGGAAGCCTCGGGCACAGGTTCTCCTTCGCCAACGCGCACTGCAGTGTTGAAGCCGACCGTAAGGACACGGAAAGGGGTTCTTTCAGGGGATCCTTTGAGTTAGGGTTTAGGGTTTAGGGTTGTGAATTCTTCAGCGAGAAGTGCT